TATTTTTCAGATGTATTTCCAAGAAAAAAACATCGTCTTATATTCGGGACAATACGGTACTACATTTTCGTGTCAATCCATGTTCATATTTACCGCAAACAATGCGCTGTCACTTTAATTCAGCGCATGCAGTGCAGCAAACATAGACTCGGTGCGGAAACGATCTCTGCACTGCAGCAGACACACAGATCCTGAACGCACTGCCGGCTGCAGCTGTGTGCAGTGAACGCTTTAATCCGTTAACATGAGCGTGGAAAAAATACGCACCACGTATGCACTGCAAACGGATTAGAGGCCGCCGATCAAACATCCCAACGTGTTTATCGGCCGATAGTGATCGGTAGCCGATCAATCGGAGCATCCCTAAAATCTTCCAAAAATTGATCTCACTCAAAATGCCTCACCTTAACTTTGATTCAAAATGATTTTTTTGTGCTAATCAACAGTGTGTCACTAATGCTGTCAAACTTATTTTATACTGAACGCATAATATTCCTTTAATGTGTGATAAATTACCCAGAGGCCACATTAGCTACTGTTAGTACATTTGTACACAAAGTTAGAATGCAATATAACTGTACTTATTGTGTGCCGAATTACACACTTAGTCAGTCATGTGTGAACAATGTGTTACATACTGCATTCAGGATCCTGTATATACCATGAAGTATGCAGTACATAGCATTCCTTTCCCAACATTGCATATATTAGACCTTCCCATCAATCCTTGGAGCTCTCACACCTGAGTGTTTGGCCCTGTCCCAAATGGAACACTTCATGTGCACTTTCGGTCTTGTGGACTTACAATGGCCGCCGCGTGTCCGTTAAGTCCACGAGACCGTAGGGTGTCCCATTCGTCATTTTAGCATTCAAAAGGGTGCTCGCGAGCACACCCTTTGCGGCCGTTATCGTAAAGAAAAGCCTGCTTTTACAGTGTTTGACACAACCAAAAACACACAAACACAACCTCAACTTACTTCTGTAAAACTAAGCTTTGAAAATTCTAATTCATTTTAAACATGTTTCCCTGATGTCCATTAATAACTTCAGTCAAGTTTTCTTACACCAAAAACAGTCACAATTTAAAATGTAGAAATGTTTTAGTGGTTGATAATAATAATCATCATCATCATCATCATCATCATAATTTGCATATGAAATTAATTACATTCCACCAATG